TGCTAAGTATCCAATTGGGCTTATTTCGGACAAATATTTGATATTTTGACACAAAAAAAGTTACAGAGTAAAGTTCTGTTTTAGGCATTTAAATGACAGTAAAAAATCCACGTTGTATCCTTCAATGAGAAACATGAAAAAGTCTAGAAAGCTCCAAGTCATTTGGTTCCCACATTCTAATGATGTATTATTATCTTGTGTCAGCTAACTATTAGTTAATAATACATTTTAATTTTTACATTTTTGAACGGCGATCGCGTATTAGTGACTCGAACACGTCAAAGCAATCATTTATCACCCCCAATATAATGGTCTGACTGAGCGATTAAATACATCTCTGATTTACTAGACAGAAGAGCTGTTGCACACTCCTACAGTAGAACAGATTATATTACTTTCTGGCATGGGATATTCTAGTCGGACTGTGACAGTTCTACAGTCAATAAGCAAATATGTTTTCGATTGACTCGATATGCCACCATAAAATACAATTGTAATTGGATTTTGTTCATTTTCTCGTCATGTTTACTCAATAAAATTATAGACGTATACAAATGCCCCATTTGCCGGTAATAACATCCTTAACAAATGATTAGCCCTGATTTATAAACAAAAAGCTTGGCTGGAAGAGAAACTCTCCTAATTGAAATCAGGCAACGCTCACGTTAATGACTATCTGTGTTTGAATAGTCGATTTTATATTATTGCCTTCAACAGAAACATGATTAAGTTCTTAATTAAAAGCTAAATTGCTTATCATTGATTTCAAAAGAACAACTTACTTAACAATATTTCGTTACACATTATTCGTCTTAATCATTCAAGCCAAGCTACCCGGATGGTGTATGTTATTAAAATCCAACAACCGCGTATCAACTCTATTAATTATATCCAATATAGCTATTGGGCATACTAAGCTATATATTTAGTTTTTATTGACTTCTTATAATATGGAAGTGATTGTAAGACGTGACAGAGAAATATGCAGGCTTCATTAAGGATACACAAGTATGTTAGAGCGAGTAGTCTTCCCACACAGCAAGTAATATATACCTCTGTTAAACAAAAGCCAAAATATAGAATTATGCAAATTATTTCATTTGATATGGCTGGTATTGTTTAATTTACTGTTTTTTGCTTGGACGACTATTAAAGAACCAGTAGATATGAAGCCAATCGTTTAGGAATGATTACAGTGTTCATGAATGATGCATTCTCTTCAGAATAGTGCCAGTGCTAATACATAGACTGATTGGGTAGTAAAAAGTAAATCTGATGCACATTAATAAAAAATGTTGAATAAAATATTATATTGTTTTAGTGTCATTTTTGCTCATTATTTCTCTGTGATCTTTATCTCGTCTAGGTACACTAGGAGGAGGGGATTGAGTCAGCCTAAATATATCTTGGCCACAACCGCCGATCGCGATTGGTTACTTAAAGGCAATTATCATTCTCAAAACAATTTCTATAAACGTCGATTGATACACGAGTAACCGGAATATGACTTGCACAAGGTCAAGGTCATGTTGGAATGTAAAGAGCAATCAAGGTCAAAATCACATTAAGACCAGTATTTGCTATGTAATAAGGCAATGTTGCAAAACGCTTCACTGAAACTATGTTCTTTTAGTGATTTCGTATCGTTCATGGGATTTCGTAGAAAATGTTTTCCAATGTAAAGATTTATGATTTGCGGCTGATTCATTCAACTCAGGCGTTATTTCCTAGACTTCACATTCGATACTGCACATCTTTTTGAGGAATGATTCAGTCCACATTGCATTGTGTCCAGGGCTTAAATCCTTAAACAATAACTAGCAATTATATTTATAAAATGCTAAATTGCATTAGTTAAACAAATAGATCTTCAATCTATCATTTGACTTGTAAGTAAGTTACATTACAGATACCATTGATAAATAATATTGTTATTCAATATCTGAGTCCCAGTTCAATATTAATAGTATTTTTATTCAAGATTACTATGTTCGATGACCTTGGCCTAAAATGTATGTTTGACCTATCATCATTAATGCTAGGGAAGAGGAGGGAAAACCCATGATTCAATTGATGACATACGATTTCCTCCTTCGCGCACCTCCTTTCCCGGAAGTACGTGTACCCTCCATCTTGGTTTTCAAAGTTTTCAAATTGACCTAGTTTTAAACCAATCAACGATCGACTCGCTAAACCGATCAGCGACGATGTCATCTCAATACAGATTTACATTATAAGCGTATGTCATCTTTGAACCCTGGGGTTTCTCCCCCTCTTATGCTAGGGGTTATAATGGGGTAATGATTGGCCAATCATATCGAGACAGTGACCTTGACCTGCATAAAGCTAGTGCAAATTGTGTGACTTGAAAACATTCTATAAAACGTTTGCAAAGTACACCTGTAAACAGAGATCAGTCGATTCTAGAAAATATAAATCCTTGGAATATTCTGAGAGTCAAAAGTCAAATTATGTTGCAATTGGTAACTCTTGGATGATAGATGAGTTATCTGGTATACGGTTCCGGTACACGGTAACCTATGTTCAATCAAAGTCAAATCATTTGCATTTTGTATGTAAAGAATATTTGCATAGAAATGAAAAAGAACGAAAACCAGAAAACCAAGTTCAAAACATCAGTCATGAACCATGGAATTGAGCCACGTGACCTACACGTGACCCTCTATATCGCACCATCAATGCGCACGCGCAAAAGAATGATGCGCTTGGAATAAACAATCATCCAAAACAATCATGTTCTGAATCGGTCATTGAGAGCAATGTGTATATATTTCTTTTGAATAATGACAACAGCCTTCACTTAGATATATGATAGTTCCATGAGACTAAAGGAAGATCAGATGTGAGACTAATTATCTATTGTTTCAATTGAGGTCTTTTCATACTCAATTTCTCCATTAGTTGGCATTACAATCTAATCATAGTAAAATGAGAAAAATCAGTCGTATTAGAATAATTGTAAAAACTAATACGTGATTATAGTCTCTGGGCATCACGGAGCATATTGTTCTTGTCAAAGGGTCGACTTTGTAACACGTGTTGAAGATCTAAATTTTCTTCTTCCCGAAGAGATACCTAATAGTTTCAAGCAAAAAATGACCAGAAAAATCAACCCATACGAACGCTTATAATTTATAGTGATTGTAATTTAGTATTTTTTATTGTCATATAATCATAGTATTTTAACGTTAAGTATAAACGGAGCTATTTTCCACCTGTACTAGTGACACGAATGTATAATTATATTTAATGATTATTTATATCTATGTTGATTTGACAGAAGATGAGCACAAACAGATAGTTCTTTGTCGATGAACTCATGAGAATTTCATTTTCTCTTTTTATTCATTGTTTTAAAAAAGACCTCGCTTTTCCATGAAACAATAATTAAAGTGGTTGAATGATGGCTTAAATGGAGTTAAGACTTGTATTTATAAATGTTTTATTGGCGTGTTCGTGCATGATAAATCTGTTCTTTTTTAGGCAAAGCATACGTTTTCTACGTTTATCGCTAACGTAAAATAATATGTTTTATATGTCCTGTATAATCAGGTCCTGATTTATGGCTCTTACGGGATAATTCTAGACCGCGGAACGCGCCGTAACTCCCGAGCGGGCAACGATCTTTAGTCGCAAGAAGAGGATCGTGTCTCGTTTTGCTCTCACGGAATCATCGTCTTGACGCAATCGAGCAGAAAAGAAGCAGACGATAATTCATCTGTTGATTCAAAATGACAGTTTTCTCGTTGAATTCTCATGGATCTGAAGGATTTTACTCCTTTATTTGTTATCATAATCTACTGCGCTAACGTGATGATGTATTTGTCTTTCTGCTTAACGTATTTTATGCAATCATTAATTTATAAAATGGAATTAATGTTTTCTCATTACCCGGGGCGCTTATTTTTGGAATTATCCTTGGAAATGCATACGAGGATTTGGACGGTCTTAAGGTACTACTTAAACCCCCAATGTTTATCTAAGTAAGGGGCTCAATAGATTGTATGTTATTCTTGCGGGACTTGGTAGTTGGTGAGGGATTATTCCTGACGTGGCTCTGTTATGATTTCCGACCCACATCCCTTAAAAGGTGCCAGTTATGAAAAGGTTCTTGTTTTCGTTCACTCCCCTTTTCCTGCCCAAGACTCCTGACGCTAGAATACAGGGATTTGCGTCCAATTATTTGATTGTGACATAATATACCATAATGCTCTCTTAGAATACGCATTTACTTTTTAGCTCAATCAAGTAGATATAAATACTCTAGTTTACATATCCAAGATAAATACGAAACTCAATCACTTAAAGAATGCTATATTGAATAGTATAGCTATATACCGCAACAATTTTGAATCACTCTGAATCAATTTAACAATGTTTAGCAAAATGGTTGACTTAATGCTTTATGTTGAGTGGCAATGGCTCAAAAGAGATACATGGTAATGACGACTAGGATAAGCATCCTTTACCACAAGCACCTATTTGGGAATCTTTTTCCAATTCTAATGAACAAACAGATGAAACTGATGTCTGGTGCTGTGTCCAGACTATCTGATCCCTACAGGCATGTTCTACACTTTCTCCCTAATAATCGTGCGCTGTCCCCAGTCATGCGAGGTATTAAGGAATTCATCATCACATCATAACTTTGATATCTATTTTGGTAATAACATGACATTGCTTCACATTTCATATATCTTTTTGTCCCTTAACTTGCATTTGTATTTATTGAATCTTCAGTAAATAACCCGATAAACGCTTGTCTCAGGACTTTCCGAAAATCATTTTGATGACGTTGTTCATATCCATATCGGTTGTGATCTCACTGTTTGAAATGGTTCATAATGAATTGCGTTACGTAATGTAGATGACCCTAATTAAGTTTTGTCAGTGTGCTGATCATATTAATGTTCATGATAAACGAATTGATGATGCGAGCTAGCTCATAATTTGGACAATAGCACATTTGCTAGAGATGATAGCTTTGATGAGAATATAACTAACACAAGCCAACAGTAAAAATCGACATTTCTACATTTTGTACCATCTTACAAATATTAACTCTTCAGTTGAATTCAATAAATTCCTGCAAATTATTAATTACACTAGGCGAAACAGATATAAAATGTTAAACACTACAAAGACGTCAGATATGAGACTTGTATTGCATATTACCCCCTCAGTCATCATAACCTCCATTGAGATTTAGAAATCAGACTTAACACACATAAACAATAGGTATTACTGTAACTCTTCGATCAATCATTTGAACTTAGAATTGAAAAGTCCAACACTTGAACACATAATAGTGAAGAACTATCAAATGTGATTCTTTAAATATAACAGCTAAAGTTTTGAACTTTACTCCAAGAATATTCAGTACAGCAAAAGCGCATCTAATGCTCACTGTGGAACCCTCCTTGTACACGGAAAAAGCATAGATAAATCTACCTTCCAATTGATTGATTTTTTTATCGTTTAGATTTCCGTATAACCAAGTCATTTATTTTTTGTTTATCATGCTCAACTCAACAATTTTATTGCAATCGGTGTCTAATAGTACGTTTGTTTATTAACAGCCAAATGATTTAAATGCCAGTTTACATCAGAAGTCAAATAAAACTCAATTAAAATCGAATTCAATCGGTTTAACATTTATGGCATTAATATCCAATAGTTCAGAGACCTTCAGAGACGACATCAGATATTAAAACTATTCTAACTTCAAAATTACATTCAGTAAATCAAACGCCATCTTTTAATTACCAGAAGTACTATTGTTATTGCCACAACCAATCAAAATTGACTTGAATCTGAAATTGACCAATAGGAGCTTTGTTGTTAATAAATGACAATAAGGAAAAAGGCATGGTGCATTTCTATTATATATTAACAAGGGATGTAAACTATATGTGATATTCTTTACACGGCTATACGGAATAGGAGGCTAATTTGTCGGCCGTCTTGGGAGAACTCTTAACTTGAAGAAATAGAGAATACCGAACTTGATTAATACGATGATAAGCATAAAGCAATAAGAGACAAGAAACCAGTTAATACTATACAAAGGTGCATTATATCTGAAAATAAATTAAAGGTGCAATCTTAATTTTGGAGACCATTTGAAGAAAAAGACTCGAGGATCTGCAATGTTGTTCAACATGGTGTCTCCTTCGCCAGTGTATCCTGCTCCGTTGAATCTATCGACAAATACGAACACTCAACAGAATATGTCACTGGCTCATCAGCATGCCTTGACCAGCTCCCACGCCCACGCTCTGCTTATGGAGAACATACTAAGAGAGAGGAGGGTCCAGTTTGAACGCACAATGGCCGCCCAGCAAATGGCATACGAAAAGAGGATGTCTGAATTGAGCCCCCATGGTGACAGAGACTTAAAAGAATTCCAAGAAAGACCAGAGTCACCGCCTAAGCCTAAGTTAAAGTTCGGTGTCAGCGCTATACTATCGTCTGCAATATCGCCTAAGTCATCAAACGATAAAAAATCAGGTAATATAAAAATCACTGACTTTAATTAACGATATGTCATATTTATATGTTGATTTTGTTTAAAGTATATATTTTTATTGTTTATAAAGCAAAGGTAATGTAAACAGACAGACATAGATTATACGTGAATTATGGACTATAATCCCATAGAAAATGAACAGTAACTGTCTAAACATCGTGTTTCAACCAATAAACATACAAATAACAAGCACATATATAAAAAATTAAATTAAGTTATATTCGCCTTCTATGAGCAGAGTGCTCTGAAGGACTCACGTAAACCTGAATGAATAAAGAGTATAATAAATAGTGAAATGATGGGAGTGATATGGCTATAATTATGCCGTACATTGGTCTATATGTCCGCTTGGTTTGCTCCTCTGAAACCGTGACACGAGTGATTAAGTTCAACTGTAAACTGACTATACGAGTCAGTAATAAAATTAGGGGTTATTTATGAAAAGTGAAAAGTATAACGTTTCTATACAAAAAACATCCTGTCAGTTTCTAGTGTTCGTAGATGTTATCTTGCGTTTAATATTCAGTTAGTTTTGTGTGGCACTATTAAAGAGTTGGTGATAAAATTTTAGTCTATATTTAATCAAAGTCAATTCTGACAATATATCTTTTATACTGGGTAGCATTTATGAAACCTGCCTGATTTATTCTTTAAAAAACAAAATATATCATAAGAAATCTTGAATAAAAAATTCATAGGGTTGTACTAACTGTTTGAAGATAGAGGCACCATCATAAGGAATCATAAATCTCGCAGGTTGAAAAACTTCTGATGACTGTGAGAGCGTTTTAATTCATTGACATCTCAGTTTGTAATTTAATTCAATACCCATGACTAAAATAGAAATGTATTTTTAAAATAAGCAATTAAAACATTGAAGTTATGAAATGTCCTAGACGTCATGCTCATCACTATTGTTAGACTAGCAGCAGGTGCCGGCAAAATACAAATACTAGCGGTAAATTCCGTAATTGGCAGAAACTTAAATTGAATAGACTTGATGACTATAAAGCATCTCATTTATTCTTTCATTTTAATCGTCATTAACAAGTAAACGATCTCATCGACAACTTGTTAAAGCCACTTCGTTCCTAGTATTCTAATTAATACTCTATTTAAACATCTGTATCAGCTGCGAGAATATATGCTTCTGGAAAATGTTGATAAATAAGCACACTATGCATGGGTTATTTCAATAAATGCCATTATGCTTTCATGGTTTTTAAATGAAATCAATTCATCAGCAATAAAGTCATAAAATCTTAATGAACTGTATTTGGTATAGAATCAGTTTAATTTTGTATTTGGTTTTAAGTATTGAATCAGTTTCAGAAGTTCAGTATGTCGTGTATTTCCACATTGGACGTGAAAATATTTTTAACTCTCACATTGATCGATTGTGATGAAACCTGATATACCATGAACCAATACAATCGTGATTTATAAAAATCATGATTTTCCTATGTGTTTTTCAGTTAGTCCTTCCCCGAGCGTATCACCGCCAGCAAGTAGTCCCGTCCAGCGGATTGATACTCAACGGTCAGCTGATCAGACGAGTGGCATGATTAGTCACGGGTATCTCCCGGGAATGTTGCCCACCGGATGCTGTGGACCAAGACCAGTGTACGGCAATATCTTACAGCCTTTAGCCAGACACCCGTATTTTGGAAGTAAGTCAAATTGATAATAGGCGCTTAAAGTAGTTCTAGAGTACATTCAAGTCTAAATTCTAGTTTTAGTCTACACGAGCTGAAGTTCTCTGAAATTTTGAAATGCACAAGGGTCAATGCTTGTTAAACGCAAATAAAACTAAGCTAGAGTTGATCGGTTTGTTCTATTGGTTCATAAAATAGAACGAATAAGCAGTCCTGTTACGGACGTAATGTGCAAATACACTCTACTATACCTTGCATTTGGCTTTCATGAGCAACCCATTTGGCTTATTAGTAATGATTATATATTTGTTTTTATTTGTCTGTTCCTTATTAATGGTTTATCGGTTGAAAGTTAGATGTTGATAAGGTACTTTCAAAAATATACTAAACAATCCAATTAGACAAACAAAGTATCTTATGCATTTCTAGGTGTTAGGTATAGTAGTGTGAAATACAGGTCCAAAAACGTCCTATTTGAGTGGTATGGTTCGCCGGGTATGGTTCTTGGCGAGAGTATATGCGCGTACTCGTATACCTTCTATTTAACGTGCCATTTTCTTTGCTTGTAAATCGATCCCGTAATAAGCATATAATGAACTGTCTTCAAATAGACTGATTTGATTTGTGAAACCATTATGAATGTGTAATTTCAACAGACATGTTTTATTAGTAAATGAAGTTTGTTTGGTTGTGTTTAAATTACAAAATCCCCCAAAAGAAATGTTCTAGGTACTTCAATATGATTGGCATATTGCTAAACAAAGCATGTGTATTAAAATGTATAACCTCATTATAAGCTTTGTCCTAAGACTTCCAACTACTATACCGTCACACCTTATCTATGACTTATGACCCCAATATTTTCATACTCAAATATATATTTTATTGTCAGAACTAAACAAGATCACCTTGTCGTTTACCTTCAAGCGGTGCTTTGAAATGCACACCGCTAAATAAAACCGTCCTTAGTCAACTTTAATAACAGTACGTTTCTCATTACAAATATATACAGGTAACGTCAGAATACGGAATATTATGAAGAACTCATATCAACTTTAAAAATAATACCATTCTTATTTCTGGTGCATTTGCGTAACGTCAGAATACGAAAAACTTTTAGGATACTCCAAGAAATATTGGAACAACAATTCTGATATATGTTTCTTGATATGATTTAGAACATATTGGTACGTTTACTAAAATGTAAATATAAGCTGTAATTTGTTTGCCAGATTCTACCTAATTTTCTGATATTTTGGGATATTGGTGTTTGTTTCATTAAAGCCGGCTGTACTATAAAATTCTCCTTTCCGATTGTGTTTTTTAAATTCTGTTTGGTTTTTATCTTTGTTGCACTTGCGCTAAAATGTTTAACAATTCGGTGAGATCTAAGAGAAATTAGCACATAGAAACAATATACAGGAACAATAAATTGATTAATGAGTCATTATCCGATTGTGCTGGGCATTATTATGAAAATGTAGGGTTATGTGGTGGAAACAATCCACAACTTACACCCCTTCTTCAAGGAAAGGATTTGTAAGAAAATTGAGTTTTACAATAAATCATTTGTGTTGCAAATTGGTCTTTGGCCGGGTTATACCTCTATTTCACGTCAACAATATATAATTAAAAATAAATGATAAAATGAAAAATTATATACTGAAAAAAAGGAATCAATAGTTAAATGCTGGAATTCAAATCATCTTTGTAATTTTGAATTGAAATTGAGTCGCTGCACAGTTCCAACTGTATCCATCCTATGTAAGATTAAGACGACGTAAAATTAGAAACAAGTAGCATTACAATAGTACATTAACACAACCAGTTGCTCATGTTGTACCGATTTTCCAACAATGTGAAAACAAAGGATAAACGTCTTAAGATCTGCTTCAAATAGAACCCTAAAAGCTTCTGATTTTAATTCTTGTTTGATCAACATTATAATAGTTTTAAGATTGTTTGCCATTGTGACGTTTTTTGTATGATCAGTAATGGTTTTGGCTTCTTCGGCTTCTCAATCCATAAAGGAAAGAGTAGTCGAGTAGCATAATGGTTTAATCCTTTAGTAATATTGGGTCAAATGATTGCCTTGTTTAAACTTATTAATGTCATATCCATTTAAAAATGTATGCTTAGTTGTTTCATATATTGTTACGATTAGGAAATGCCATTGCTTGATAAAACTATGCTAAGTTGATAAGCCTATTCTAAGTTTCTAAAGGATTAATAAGCAGTTACACGAAGAATAAACATACTTTACAAGTTTAGAAATAAATACCATTAATTTTACAGCATTTTCAAATGTTATCACGTGTGGCTTCCGATTTTTCCGAGCGAACAAAATTATTTTAGTATTTTAAAGCCTTACATCCACCCCTTGTGCTTGAATAAAATGGATATTCTATAGATTAGGAAATAAAATAAAGAACTTCATAACATGAACTAATTTCGTTAATAGATTGGACTTATTTATTGGATCTTCTATGGTTTCGATCGACCCTCGTCGTGTACATGTACAATATTCTGAAGTTTATTAAGAATTCTCCTCTTATATTTTCTAGATCCTGCCATGCTTCCACTACCAAATGCATTCTCACTGCTTAGCAGTATGAGGGGAAAGCCAAGAAGAGGGATGCTCAGACGTGCAGTGTTCTCTGACGCACAACGCAAAGGATTGGAGGAAGCCTTCCAGAAGCAAAAATACATCAGTAAACCAGATAGAAAGAAACTTGGAGAAAAGTTGGGATTAAAAGATTCTCAGGTAAGATATATAAACATAGTTCTACTGAACTTAAAAACATAATTTGCATATATATTTGTTCTCCCTGCTACCAAAGATATTCCGAATAAATAAATGAATAAATATGTTTGCATACATCTTATTCCAGGTAAAAATCTGGTTCCAAAATCGAAGGATGAAGTGGCGGAATTCAAAAGAGCGGGAACTACTTTCTTCCGGTGGATCACGTGACTCAACTTTACCCACTCGTGATAACCCAAATCCAGATCTCAGTGACGTAGGGATCGGAAGTGATAATTCTGACAATGCATGTGATATCATAAAAGTTCCGTCTCACGCTATCCACAGAATAGACAATGAGGTAGCTGAAATCTCTCAGTCAGACATTGCAATGGTTGATGACATTGACGAAGGTCATAGTGATGTCGACTCTTCAGATGACGAATATCTAGATGTATCATAGAACAAATATGTTCCAAATCATTGTACATACAAATATTGTTAATTGTATATAAACATGTTTAATCTTTAACTCACTGTAAACATTACTGTACATATTAAATTGTAAATTCTGTAAATTATATAATGGTAATATAAGTTCTATGGTTACAAAAAATATGAAAAGCATTGTTTTTACTATTTTGCCAACCTAAAAATAAACGGATGACTATAAATGATATGAAAACTGCTACATTCATTGTGTTTTATGTCTCATAACAACAGTTGCTGTTGATTTGATTTCCTAAGAATGGTGTACTTGAGTAATGAGTACAACATAGGCTTGTTCGATATACTCACGTTAGCATATGTTACAGTAAAATCTAATTCTAGAGCCATACACGCAGGGAATCAAACAAACGCTCATTAAAATGCATAATATTAAATCGACATTATGATTAAAAGATGTAATCATTTGAAAAATCAAAGTTAGTTGTCAGGAATATTGAGATTTGTCTATAAAATCATGATTTATTCAATAGAAGATGGATAATGCGCCAAGCTGACGGTATAACTCTTGAAACACAATGATAAATTAACAATTCAGCATACATTGATATTCATCTGTTGCTCTCCGAGATTCAGCTTGAATTCGAGCTTAATGTTGTCTTGGTAACAACATTCCATTTGAAATAAAACATAATGTTTGTGTTTCATTACAGTTAGCATAAATTTAGATTTAGATGTATTAACTTTAGTACACGCGTACATACACATAATGAGTTAAGTATATATACAAAGCAAAATTGACAATAAAACACTTACACACACAATATTTCATAAAAACTGATTTACTTTATAATGTTTTCACATATAAATGGCCACTGTGGTACGCGTACATTGTTTATGTCTTATATAACGCTCTTACGTAATATTACATTATATGAATAAATTCTGCATATGATCTCTACTAAAGCTGAAAATATTAAGACATTAAAGCATTAGCACCAGATTTTGAAATACAGAAAACACAACTTTGAACTTCTGAACCCTTATACAATTTGGCTTGAAACATCTCAAACCTCCAGTGGAACTGAGAAACATAATTATTTAGGTGGAGCACATAGAAATAGCGTTCTTCTAATCAACTTGCGTGTTTTAGGCCTAGTGTACAAGTGAGAATCCGCCGGAGACATTGTCTTCTCATGGGCCTTATTGGTCCTTATTGAATGATAAAATACAGCTATAGACTAGTCCAGCCTCAGTCACATTTGCTCTACGCCGGACGTACGGTGGCCGTAGCTTCGCAAAACCGATGTAGAAAATCTACTTCGTACTGCTTATCCATATATATTTTGCTACATATTTCTATCGATTTTGGGAAGCTTCGGCCGTACGTCTGCCGTAGATCAAATGTGACCCAGGCATAAGGAAAAACATGGGTTATTTTATACACCAAGAGAAAGTATTAATCATTCGATTGGACTTCTCGTCTGGTCAAATAACAATAATAAGTCTAATGATTCCTGGATATCAGCAATATGGACTAACATATTTTAATCAATAGAGCAAACCATAAACGTTCAACGCATTTGATAACCATTCCTTGTCTCTTCTATCTTTCAAGAGCGGGCCTTGCTAAGCTCATGGAAAGAATTGAAATACCATTGGACCAAGGATGTCTTTCATCATATAACTTTTATTTCTTATCGCTCGACCACACCATCCGATTTAGGATGATAGTAGACTGGGTGAATCGGCCAATTTACTTATATCCGTATTTGCAGCAAAGATCAGAGGGCTCGATATGCAATATTAAAGTAATCTTATCAATAAACACGTCAATCCGTGGTCTTACTCATCAAAATTATTATCTGAAAAAATATAAATAGCGAAACAATTGAAGATTCAGGGTGCAGAATGCAAAATGTGCAGAGAGTATAATTCAAATAAGTGATGTGACGTATTTTAGCAAAAAGTCAGAGCATTTCCTTGAACAAATTCGTCCCTTTCTTTTGCTACCCCTTTTGATAGCAACTCTCCGACGAGAACCCTAGGCGTCTTACCTTAAATCTTATCATTGATTGACCAATGGAAATCATATTATATTACTACCTGCCATTTGTTACAGATGCCGACCATCGAACGCTGACCGTCGTTAACTGTCGAACAACGTCCATAAAGAATATGGAGACTATAACAATATAATAACATAAAGTTTGTGAAACAATCAAAAGTTCATTTAACGAGTGCTTTAAACTATAAAATAACTCCACAGATTAATAATAGAAGGCCGGCCTTCTCAAGAGCCAATATGCGGTCTTGGCCTGGTCTCCCGAAATAAGCCATCGACCATCGATACACCATAGAGTCCATATGCGAAGCTGGAGACATAAGAACCTCGTAAACGTTGGGATAAGGGAAAGGTACTATCAATATGTATTTTGGAAATAACAGTTCAAAAGAAGGAGAGACACACAAAGGGCAACATTCAGAAAATGAAACAAAAGTCAAAACCATTGATATTTACAAGTCCAATTACAATATTCAAGATCTTTATTTATTTGTATTGAGCTTCAAATAAAGCATAATATCCAGAAAGTTAAAATTTAGAGAATGGTTTAAGAATAAATTGCACAAACCTCAGTAAGCCATATCAATTTATAAAACCAATTATTAAATCATAACAAAAAACAGACGAGTGTCTGACTATTACTGACTCTGGTAAAATATCGCTTTTTATTCGTTATGTGATTTGAAACATTTTCTGCTTTGTTTACCTTTGATCTTAAATTAAGTCCATTATAAAGACAAATGTTATGTCAATTTCACCTGTATCCCTGTTTCTCTTCTTACGATATATTTGTTCGACAAAAATATTTAAGGCAATAATGATTCATTATATGCCTTTCAAACATCAATTTAATAGCTGTTAAATCTCTTAAAATTCAATTCCCCATCAAGGATCACAAAATAATTATTCAGAAACAATCAATTTCTATTGTTTATGCCCGACTACAAAAGTCACGCAACCTCTACATTTGGAGACCTGTCAGAACAATTTGGTAGGCGTTGTCATTTTGACGTACGCATTTGCATATTTTGGAATCTATTACGAAGCCTTTGATATGATCTATAAACAATTAATAGAAGTTTTTTGTTCGAAATGTAACAATATACCTACGGACGTTTTGATACTTCGTTTAAAAAGTATTCGTTTTATATTTGCATTAACAGCATCTAAACGCTAATGAAGGTGAAAATGCCTCTGTCAAGATGTAACTTAAGAAACAATAAACATCGCATTTTTATCTAATTGAATAATATTTGATTATATGGGTTAAGTGATCCATAAAGCATATAAAACGATGAAAGCGACAATGCTTATAGTTTCCTAGAAGTGATATCGGCATTAATATGATGAACGTATTGTTTTGTCTCGTAACTCAAATTTTTGTAACAGTAACAGATTTAAGAGACTTATTACTATGCATCTATAGATAGCTGAATCAATTATTACAGCCGAAACAACAGACTAAAGATATTAAAATTCAAAGACTCTTGAAAAGGGATAGCACTGATTTTTAATAGCAAGGTTCTTTTGACCTTCAAAGACTTGAAACAAAAAGTAGTGTTTTTTAATATTTTTGTTATTTTTCTCGTGCTGGTTACATTACTACGAATGTAGTTTCTCCTTTCGCAATAATTGTATTTTTCTTAAGAAAATAGATTGCTTCATCATGTCAAGACAGCTTAACCTTGACATTGAATAACATGATATGACCATGGACCTGAAAAGGTTATTGTCCAATCGACGTGGGTTTTTATTGTTTTTTAATATACATTTTTTATTTTTTACACTCTAAATTTACATACATGCGCATCGACGTAGTATGATTTTGAGTTTTATGCCAGAACAATTATGGCAACGTCAGGGCGCTGTGTTTCTGTCAGTCTGCTCCTATATCACACTAACAAAGGAGGAATTCAATCAGACTGAGAAGATGGAAAACTAGCAAAAAAGGATCTCTAGAGTTGACTTGGAAAGCCCCTAGACAATTGTTGAAGAGAAAATGATTTTTCCTAAAATTTTACAGTCTGTACTGGTTTCCAAAACTAAACCGTCTATACAAATGAGGAAGAAATCGGAAACCTAAACAGCAGTTGATAAAGGAACATGCCCAAAATGCCAAACGAACTATCAAACGTTCAAAGAAAACCTGTCAAATTGACCTCACCCCTTCTTCTACCATCCGGTAACCAACAACTAGCACAAAACCACATGATAGTATTGTATATCTATGCAATCAGTGGACATCTCGGTCATATCGAAGACATTATATTACATGTTGACGATCAAATTGAATTCCAATACTCAGGCTTAGTTTTGGGTGACAGACATGACGAAAACGTCCGCGGTAAATAAACATTATAAATACGATCGCAATGGGAGATGGTGATCACTTGAACGTACATGTTGTCATAATTAATGACATATTTGAAATTCATGATTATAATTTCAGCAATCTTAGCTGGGTATTTGGTGAACTTCTATGACAGAATCAAAAAGAAATGTCAAACTTGGGTCAAGGGTCAAATTGAAAACGAAAACGATACGTTTCAGAAGTAACGTATTTTGACACTTTCAGCCGATCTCTTTTGTTATATGATTCCATTAAATAATTGAACTAATACTGAGTGGGGCATAAAAGTGGAGAGATATTGGATGTCGAATCTATAAACAAATACTCGCAAATAAAAAACCGAGATGTCCTTTCTGATCCAATCACAATACAAATGAAGAGGACGATGCAGTGAATGAAAGAAACTCAAAACAACTAAGAAATCAAACTGTCGGTAAATAAAGTGACTCTACTAACATATATTTTAAAGGAAACACGCGGTAGACGTTAACAGAGTTTCAATTTATGGCGAGGATATTCACCTGCGCTTGAAATGGCGATCGTAATGTGTAAGATGAGAGTTATATTGTAATTAATGTTAAAACCACAGGCATCTATTAAACTCTAATATCAACCATGTAAAATGTAAACGACTAGCAATTTGAAGTACATTGGTGAAAATGATATCTAATTGAAATCAAGCGATATGAGTGACCCGTGTGGGGAATCTATTTATGATCAAATCTTCAATAAATTTCCAGAGACAGGATTCTACAATAAGATCATATCTTTAATATTGCCATTATTCTGCCAGTTTTAT